TGCGATCTTAAAAGTTGGTGCGGGTTTCCGCCGATGAATGCCGAAGTTTCTTCGGGCACATAACTTTTTTTTAGGAAATTGCCTGAAAAAGTCACTTTAACGTCGAAAAATCGCGTTCTAACGTAGCGGAATGTATTCGGGACGTCCAGAAGGGGCCCCAGCTCGATTCGCGCGAGCACACGCGGCACGGTTTCGGAGGAGATACGTAAAACGACACTTCGGCTCTTTCTACTATTATATAGTAGATGGTTTTGGCAGAGATAGATAATCTCAAATAAATCATCTCTCTTTGAGATGATTTATTCCTAGTGTTAATTGTGTAATTAGTGTTAGTGTGGATGTAATGTAGCTGTAAAAGAGGAATAGTGGAGAATTCGCGTGGTAGTAGTGTGGTGGTATAAGTAGCAGTCTAGAAGTTCACTACAATCACACGTTAACTTAATCCAAATGTTAATCTAGATCTTCATCCGATTGGTAAATTTTGGAATTGTAATGTCTGATTTGTAGACTTGTATTGGTACTAACTGTGCCTGCTACTGCACCTAACTTACTACTTGTACTAACAGCAACCCTGCAGCTGTACCAGCCAACCTGTACCTAAGGTGATGTTTGCTTTGCTTCCACAGGGCCTCGATGGATTCGGAATGAGTAAGATCTTGGACATCTACGCATTGTTTTTATCGCCAGCGCAACGAGAAAAGGGTGAGAACTTTTCCGATAAGCACATTTGTTTGAGTTAATGCGGGGCACGTGAAGCGAGTTGAGGGTGTCATTGGGTTTCCTTGCAATTACTTTTGTCAATCTGTTTGCATGAATAATCGGCCAATTTGTCTGAGCGAAATAATACAGCGTCCTGGGTATGCTTGCTAGGGTGGTGGTGCTCAGCCAGTTTATGCGTCTCTGTCACGTGTACCTACCGAATTGGCAATTTTGGGGCACTTTGTTGCCAGACAATGTCTTCTACAATGTCCTATCCAAACAATGATTGCCTGATTAATCATGCCAGGCGTATAGGTTAGTTATACACAAAACACTTCCTGATTTCAAGTTTACAATTATTGCCCATATTCCATTTTCATTGTTCGTTCAGGAAAAAATTTGTCCAGAGAAACAAAATTTGTCATCACGCCTCCGCTGTTAATCCAGTGAAGCTAAACTTGTCGTTCTGCGTTCGTTGTTCATCTAGAGAAACTGAAGGTTAACGATGCCTTCATTAAGAGGTTCAGCTCGTTAGTGGCGTTGGAGACGTTCGCGAATGACACGAGAGACATGGAGATGCTGAGCAAGATCAAGATGGTGAGAGCGTACAGCGTCAACATCCCGTTCTACATACAGCGCATCAAGAATGCGCACAGCAGGGATCCCATACATGCAGGTAGCTGTGTGCATGTGTGCGTGAGTGTGTGTGTGTGTGTGCATGCGTGCGTGTGCGTGTGTGTGCGTGTGCGCGTGTGTGTGTGCATGCGCATATGTGTGTACGTGTGTGTGCGTGCATACGTGTGTGTATGTGTGCGTGCGCATGTGTGTGTATGTGTGCGTGAGCGTGTGTGTGTGTGTGTATGTGTGCGTGAGCGCGTGTGTGTGTATGTGTGTGTGCGCATGTGTGTGTATGTGTGCGTGCGTGTGCATATGTGTGTGTGTGTATGTGTGCGTGGGTGTGTATGTGTGCGTGAGTGCGTGTGTGTGTATGTGTGCATGTGTGGGTGTGTTCATGTGTACGTGCGTGTGTGTGTGTATGTGTGCATGCGTGGGTGTGTATGTGTACGTGCGTGTGTGTGTATGTGTGCGTGTGCGCGTGTGTGTGTGCGTGCGCATGTGTGTGTGCGTGCGTACGTGTGTGTATGTGTGCGTGCGCATGTGTGTGTATGTGTGCGTGCGTGCGCATATGTGTGTGTGTGTGTGTGCGTGGGTGTGTATGTGTGCGTGCGTGTGTGTGTGTGTATGTGTACGTGCGTGTGTGTGTATGTGTGCGTGAGCGCGTGCGTGTGTGTATGTGTACGTGTGTGTTTGTGTATGTGTGCATGCGTGGGTGTGTATGTGTGCGTGAGCGCGGGTGTGTGTATGTGTACGTGCGTGTGTGTGTGTATGTGTGCGTGCGTGCGCATATGTGTGTGTGTGTGTGTGCGTGGGTGTGTATGTGTGCGTGAGAGGCCGGCCGTACATGCCTAAGATCAGATCTCGCAAGTGACTTACAAGCGAACTCATCGGTTTGTCACTCCCCCTCTACTTTCCTGTTCTTACATGTCCCTCCCCCACCTCCCCCCTACTGTTCCTGTCCTCGCATGTTCCGCTCCCCAGCTCCCCCCTACCTTTCCTGTCTCTACATGTCCTCCCCCACCTTCCCCCTCTACTTCCTGTTCCTCCCTGTCCCTCCCCCCACCCACCTCCCCTCTACTTGCGTTCCTACATGCCCCCACCCCACCTCCCCCTCTAGCTTCCCTGTTCTTACATGTCCCCTCCCCCCACCTCCCCCCTCTACTTTTCCCTGTTCCTCCATGTCCCTCCCCCAGCCCCCCTCTACTGTCCTGTTCCTACACTGTCCCTCCCCCAGTCCCCCTACTACTGTTCCATGTGTTGTCCCATGTCCCTCCCCCACTCCACCCTCTACTTTTCGCTGTTTCCTAATGTCGCCTCCCCCCCACTTCCCCTCTATCTTCCTTGTCCTTTCCATGTCCCTCCCCCACCTCCCCTCTACTTTCGCTGTTCGCTACATGTCCTCCCGCCCGACGCTCCCCCTCTACTTCCCTGTTCCTACATGTTCCGTCTCCCCACGCTCCCCCTCTACTTTCCTGTTTCTGTCTCCATGTCCCTCCCCCACCGTCCCCCTCTACTTCCTGTCTCCTACCATGTCCGTCCCCCCCTCCCCCTCTATCTTTCCTTTTTCCTACACTGTCCTCCCCCCACCTCGCCTCTACCTTCCCCTGTTCCTACATGTTCCTGCCCCCCCTCCCCTCACTTTCCCTTGTTTCTACCTGTCCTGGCCCCCCACCTCCCCCTCTACTTCCTGTTCCTACATGTGTCCCTGCCGCCACCTTCTCCCTCTAAATTTCCATGTTCCTACATGTCCCGTACCCCACCCCCCTCGTTAACCTTGCGCTGTTCCCATACA